AATAGAGGATGCACACTCATTAAAGTTGTTCATTAATGCAATGAAGGATATCCAATGAAGAATCTAAATTGAAAGAAGAATCCTTTATAGACAGCTAGACAGGTCAGTGGATAGAGCGTTGGATTTGGTATCAGGAAGATCTGGATTCAAATCCAGCATCAGGTATCTAGCTGGGTGATCCTGGGCAAATCATTTAACCTCTCACCCTCAGTTTCTTTATCCATAAAATGGAAATAATAATAGCATCAACCACATAGAGTTGTTGAGAGGATCAAATGAAACAGCATGTGTAAAGCACTTTGCAAACCTTAAAAAGCTATGTAAGTGCTAACTACTGTTAATAGTTCATGTTATTATCTATAGAAGGTAAGGTCCTACAGATGACTGTGGATGGCATGGTGCTGGTTGCATCAAGCCCTAGAACATTTCAGAACCTCCTGGAAGAAGTCTATAATCAGTCAAAAGGGTTTGACCTGATCACCTACAAGGAAAAACCAACTGGATGAAGAGTATCTATTACCCAGATTAAGACATGCATTTGGATGGACAACCTGAAGAGCTAGTCCACCAGTATTAATATATGGGAAAGACTGTACAGCTGGACAAGAAGTTGGACACATATTTGGACAGGAAGAAGAGAGAAGGCTGGATTGTTTGGGGGAAATTGTAAAGCTCCTTTAATGACCTCAAACCTCCTTTGAAAACAAAGGCCCCATCTTTTAAATGCCAATAACCTTCCAGTACTGTGGTTGGATAGCAAGATATGTAATATAACAATTGCCAAATAATTTAAAATTAGCATCTCACAGAAGGCTTTGGGGAAACACGGCGGAAGCATGAGCCACCTGCAACATACAAGCAATAGAGAACTTCAAAGAAGAATAAAACTAAAGGATATCATCAAGGAAATTGATGATAGGAAGAGAAGTTGGGTTGTCAAATGGCAAATAGAATGGATCCTCTATGATGAACTTATGGGAGGAAATGGATGAAAATTGCATGGGATGAGCAGGCATGGATGGATTGTGATCTTCATCACTGGAGAGATTTTGCAAATAAATGAGATCACAAATCCATGAAAGTATTTGAGTATTAATGCGTAGGAAGGAAGGAAGGAAGGAAGGAAGGAAGGAAGGAAGGAAGGAAGGAAGGACCTATTATTAAGCACCTATGTGCCAGGCCCTATGCTAAACACCTTGCATATATTATCTCATTTCATCCTCACAATAACCCTGAGAAGAAAGTACTATTATGATGCTCTTTTATAGTTGATAAAGCTGAAGCAGACAGAGGTTAAGTGACTTGTCCAAGGTCACATAGCTAGTGTCTGAGGCCATATTTGAACTCAGGCTTTCCTAACTTCAAGCCCAATGCTCTGTTCACTCTTATGTATGTTATGTATAGCAAAATGGAGCAAATTCATGCAATATTAAAGGTAAAATCTTTGAAAGGATAAAAATGAAAATAATTTTTGTGTCATAAAATTCAAAAACATATACTCTTTCACTCATGCAATTGCTCGTGAGTAACTCAATCTGACTACATAATTGGCAGGCCCACATCTTTGGGGGCCAACACAAGGAAAACTTAGCTGAGCAAGCTGATGGTACTTTATGATTTTTTTTACACACTAAATAATTTTCAGCTTTTCACTTTCCTGTTTCATCACGCCATCACTGTTTGCTAATATTTGTCTCTTTTCCTTCTTTTTATCTTTGAAAAATATTTGAAGTTCTCTGCTTTCCTTCCTTCTGCACTGATGACCATGGGTACCAGGCAGAGGATAACTCAGAGATGACAACACTTCTGCCCTTTTGTTAGCGTAGCTCCAGCAATCACAGATAAAGCCCTGGAATCCATCAGATACTGGGCAAGTGCCATCCTTCTCCCTTTGCCCACAGTTCTGAAGATGTCCCAACTTTAAGTCAAAGTCTGAACTATGTCTTCTGATAAATCTCAAGGATATGATGACATCCTTTAATTTTTAGATTAAAAATCTTTAAACAGAAACTCACTACTAAGAAAAGACCACAACATTTCGACAATTATTTTCATCTTCGAGAAGGAAGGCGGTGCAACTAAGAATAGTCACAGGATGTTAAAGTTGAAATGGACTTTAGAGAGTCCGAATCCAACTCACTTATATTAGAGATGAAGACACAAAAGTTCAGAGAAGCTACCTGAACTATTTCCCAAAGGTCACATAGGTAGCTAAGTAGCATAAATCCATCATGCTATCTCTTTGCTTTCCATCACTGACAAGATGTTGGCCAGAATTCTCCAGTTTCAGCAACTAAACAACCCACCCAATTCAGCATTCCCAGGGCAGTACTACTTTAGATCAGAAGAGAGGACAGTATTCATGATAGCTATAATCCATAAGTTATGGGAAAGGTCAGTTGGTCAACAATGATTTATTAAATACTTACTACATACCAGGCACTGTAATAAGAACTAGAAAAGTACAAGAAGTAGCATCAAGATTTCTCCTAGATTCTAGCAAAGTAAAGCATCTCACTCTAATTTTCCGGAAAAGATGGAGAGATGTGGAATTGATTGTAATAAAAGTAGATGGATTCTTAACTTATTGGATGGTCGGACTCAAAGAATCATTAATTGTTCAATGTCAATGTGTAAGAAATTTCTAGTGGAGAAATCAATGGTTCTGTATACGGCTGATACTGTACCATTTGCTAATATTATCAATAACTGAGATAAAAGCATAGATGTTATGTTCATTAAGTTGGTAAATGATGCCAGTCTTGGAGGGGCAGCTAACACACTGGAATACAGAGTCAGGATCCAAAAAGATCTTGACTAGACTAAATCTAATGAGATGAAATTCAATAGGGACAAATATAAAGTCTTGGACTTAGTTTCATAATATCAGTTTCACAAGTACACAAATATATCAACTTCATTAGATGGCAGAGGCAATGATTAGACAGCAGTTTGTCTAAAAAAAGATGTGGGTGGTTTAGAGAATGCAAATTCAATATGAGTCAGCAGTGTAAAGGAGTGGTTTAAAAAAGTAAGTGTGATTTTGGGACTATAGTAAAAGACGTCTGTTGTTTAGTCTTTTTCAGTCATGTCCAATACTTGGTGACCCCATTTGGGGTTTTCTTGGCAAAGACCCTGGAGTGGTTTGCCATATTTCCCTTTCCAGCTCATCGTACAGATGAGGAAACTGAGCCAAACGGGGTTAAGTGATTTGTCCAGCGTCGCAGAGCTAGTGTCTGAGGCTGGATTTGAACCCAGGAAGATAAGTCTTCCTGACTCCAGACCCAGCGTTCCATCCACTGTGCCACCTTAGCTGCCCAAGAGAGGTCTCCCTTCCAGGAAAAATAAGTTAATAGTATAATAAGGTCATACTTTTCTGGAGTATTATATGTCCTTCTGGGGGCCACGGAGTTGATAGATATTGATAAGCTGGAGAATGTCCAGAGGAGGGCCAGTAAAATGGCGAAGGCACTCAAGTCCACGTCACACGAGGATCGGTGTAAAGAAGTAAGGAAGTTTTGTGCAGAGAAGAGGAGATTCAAGGGCACGTGACAGCTTTGATCCAGGATCTGAAGGGCAGTCACATGTAAGAAGGGTCCCATTTGTTTCGTTTGGCACCAGAAGGCAGAATTAGGAGAAACATGGAAGCTACAAAAATGGCCAATCAAGGTTTGATGTCAGGGAAAACTTCTCAACAATGAGAGTTGTCTAAAAGTGGACAGGCTGTACTAAAAGGTGTTAGGATCCCCCTTCTAATGAGTCATCAAGCAGAGAATGATGACTTGACAGGTTTATTATAGGGGAGATTCCTTTAGGATCTGGGTTAGACTAGGTAACCACTGGAGGCTTTTTCTAATGTGTTTTTATCCCAAAGGCAAGGGAGTGCTGGAACCAGCCCAAACCAGCTCATGAGGGCTAATTGTTAGTTTTCAATGCAAGAAGTTGGCGAATGCTACAAATAAGGGCTTGATTTAATATTTTGTTGATTTTCTAGACTTAAGGAGGTGATAAATAAAATGTTAATAATGCAGATTTAACTTCAAAATGTGCTGTGTATACATTTTTTGCTGGTTGTCAAACATTTATCAGCACATCCTTATCCATAGGCCTCCCCAAATTGTCTAACTCCATTAGCAAAGCTGAACTCTGACCATTGTTACATCAGGTTTTGCTACATGGAGAAGGAATTACCACCCATTCACAGTGGGACAGAGGGCCAAGGGGAGAGAGAACAGGCCTCCAAGTCAGGAAGCCGTGAGTTCAAGTCCTATATATGACACATTTTGACTGACCCTCGACAGCTCAAGGCAACTCTATGACCTTCATAAGCTGCAGACTATCTATTTATTTACAAAAAGAAGTTTCCTCATCCAGGAATTCCCTATACCAATTAAATCATAGGTGTAATCCCTTCCCTTTCCCACAATGGTATGGTGACCTGTATCGGCAAGTTTAGTGCTTCTCCAGGCCTATGAAATCATTTTTATACAATCACAGAAACAGTCAGGGATCCATCATATGTCAGAATACATTTAAGTGTGGTTTGTAGTATGTAATCCAGGCTCTTTACTACCCCAATTCCGGTTGGGAAAAGAAAACAACTTTGGACTAAATGAGAATTGCAAATAACAATACTTCTTTGGATAATGATCACATTCCTTCAATAAATGTTTACTAAGCACATCACTGGGTGAGTTATCCTAGGGCAGGCCTTTGGGGAGACACTAAGATAAATAAATCACAGGTCCTAAACCTTTGAAACTTGTATTCTAACAGAGAAGGTCAGAGATGTGCATAGGCAAAGAGAAGAAAGTAAGTCACTGTCAAGTTCCTAGAAAGAAGCAAAAAACGATTTGCCCTCAATATGCACAAACATGGAAAAGGCCACCAGTCTCACTCACATAAGTCAGGTCAGCCACACCTGTACACAGATGTCACAATTGTCTTCAGAAACAAATGACAACAGGACAGTAAAGCCAATGGTTAGTGCTATGGCTTACCATGACATCTCTTCCCATCAGAAAGCAGGATGAACCCTTTGGGGCATGTGCAGTAATAGGATCCAGGGATATTTTCACATCCAAGAGTACACCCATGGTTCCAAAATGCACATTCATTGACATCTGAAATAAAAAAAATTAAATTAAATCAATATCACATTTTGTACCTTATAATCAATTTATGGTTTTTGTAAATATATTAATAAATCATTAGTATGAAATTAATTTGGTAATTTGCATTTAGGTACAGTAACTTTCCATGGAAAAGATAGTTCTGCTGTATGAAATAAATGAAATAATCCAAAAAACATGATAATATTACACATTAGATCATATTTTCTTTTTTCAGCTGTTAAGTTAGTTCTCAGAATCTGTCTTGGATAGAGGTAACAAATTTCACCAAGCTAAAGCAGCACACTGTTTAATGTAAATCTAGAAATGGCTCCTTGGTGAGGCTGGGTTTTCAGTGGGTACTATAGGTTATCAGTGACCCTTCTGATTCCAAGGTCTGAGAAGCTGTGTGGTGTCTGACAAGCATATGCAACCCATTAGTCTGTAACTGTGGTTATTTAAGAATGAAATTTAAATGTCATTTTCTCCTTCAAATTATGCAGATTATTTTTCAAATAGCTACTAGGTTGTTAAGGTACCAATACTTATTAAGTTGTTTGGATGCAACTACTTAACAAATGGAACTGTTACGTATTTTTTTTTATTAAGGTGTTCCATGAAAAAATTACTGAGACGCAAAAGGCTCTGAAGACTGAGAAACTTTGGGAATCTCTGCGGTAAGGTGATGGGATATCCCCAACTCAGCCTCTTCACTGCCTATCCTAGTAACTTGAGCACTGTGTTAACAAGGATTAGAAGCTTCTCCATATGACCAGTCACATTTACTATGCTACTATCACCACAAACCTTACTGTGGCTTGGTCTGATACCCCAGATCTCATGTGTTTCTAATTCCTCACCCATCTTAGCCTGGCCTATGTCAAGAATTAAGAGGTCTGATCTAGGATTCCCTTAGAAGCCCCTCCCCAACTTAGTTCTGGGGCATCCTTCTGAGAGTGCACATCCTGAGATGCAACCACTAACCTGGTTCTCTTTCTCAGTAAATCACCTACAAACTCCAAGATTACATCTGTAGCATCTATCAACTTGAGCCTGGAACCTCAAGATTAGAGAAGGTTCTGGAAATCGCATTCGGACCCTAGGAGTGCCTACAAGACCCTAGGGCCTCTCTATGTTTTTAGATTTTAAAAACAAGCCATCTCAGTTTCAAGACTGTTGTTCATCCTTCATTCTCAAAGAGGACCATGACATCAGGAAGGTGATGCCATGACTTGCAAGTGAGTTGGATTTAAGTGAGGGAGGGCTGTGCAAAGTCATCAGCCTCACTATCTCCTCCAGTGCTATCTGGGTCCAGTGGCAAGATATAGTTCAGGACAACTGGAGATGGACCCAAGTTTCAAGGTTATAGAAATAATAATAGCTAACATTTATATGGTGCTTTAAGGTTTGCAAAATGCTTTAGAAATATCTCACTTGATTTTATCCTCATGACATCCTCTGAGGTAGGTGCTATCAGATGAGGAAATTGAGGCTTAGAGAAATTAGCATAGCCTAGTATCATACACCTAGTAAGTATCTGAAGCAGCATGTGAATTCAGGTCTCTTTGACTCCAAATCTCTATCCACAACACCACTAAGCTATCTATGGAAATAGAAGAGACAAAATGTAACTGCTTTTAAAATCCCAAATTTAAATTGGATTTAGATTGGTCTCAGGTTAGATGCTCTTTGATGATCTCTGAATGAGGGAAAAACCCATCCAACCAAACTGCTTTGCCCTGTTTCAGGTAAAGATTCAGTGTATTACCTTTGCAATACTTCCCATCTTGACTTAATGTGTAACCTTCTGCACATTTGCATCGATGAGATTTAGGGTCCTGCCCACACACACTGATCCTGCAGTCACCCTTCTTTAAGTTGCATGATTCCTGCTCTAAAAGAGAAGTATAGTTTATTAAGAGTGGAGATGAGTTCTGACACACTTCATGCTTTATTCCTTCATACTTCTTAAAGAAGTTAATCTCCCACTGACGTCAATAGAACCACTGCCTTCGAAAACATTGGCACACCTTTGCAATGTCCTGGATTCTTCTGAGTTCTAAAGTCCATTTGCTTCTCTAAGAGTATAAAATAATATAACTTTCAGAGAGGGAGCCCTGGGTACCTGATTTCACCTTTTGTTGTTTAGGGTTTTTTGGTCTTGTTTTTGTTTTTTTAAGAAAGAAATAGTAGACATATATATCTTGGGTTTCCAAAGCACTTTTTATATACATTATCTCATTTAATCCTCACAATATCTTTATAATGTAGCTGCTATTATAATCACCCCCATTTTACAGATAAGAAAACTGAGACTTACAGACTTCATCATCACACAATTAGTAACAGAGGAAAGATTAGAAAAGGTCTGTCTTCTGACTCCAAGTCCAGCAATCTTTCCACCACATTACCCTACCAGAGACACAACACCAATTCTTCCCTGATCATCTTCATCTGCTTTTATTCAGAGACAGGCACAAAACTGAACACCCTCACTATATCACTAACATCTAATTTTGTGTTTAATTTAACACAGATTTAACAAAGTTCTAGTGCTTGGGGTATACAAAGCTGAAAAATGAAGGTCCTTACCCTCCCTCAAGTCTAAAACTATACAATCTAATGAAATAATGTGTACAAAAATACATATAATATAGTCAATCTGATAGAGGGAAGACTTATAGGAGCTGATGCAGAGTGTGAGCAAAACCATAACAACTTACACAATCACAACATTGTTGTAACAACAACAGCTTTTAAATACTTAAGAACTCTGATCAACACATTTCCAGAGGACTGATGATGAAGCCTGGTACCCACCTCCCGACACAGAAGATGGACTCAAGATGCAGGATGAAATACACATTTTTGGACATGGACAATTTGGGAATTGTTTTGCTTGACTAAGCATAATTGTTTCATGGAGTTTGGTTTGGTTTTTTATTAGGATGGGGGAAGTTAGAGGGAGAGGAACTAAATTGCTTATTAATTGGAAAAACGGGAAAACAAAAATGGGCAAAACATCTATCCTCAGTGGATAAGGCACTGGCTTTGGAATCATGAAGACTTATCTTCATGAGTTCAAATCTAACCTCAGATACTAGCTGTATAAGCCTAAGCAACTCACTTAAACCTGTTTGCCTCAGTTTCCTCATCTATAAAATGAGCTGGAGAAGGCAATGGCAAACCACTCTAGTATCTTTGCCAAGAAAACCCCAAATGGGGTCACAAAGAGTCAGACATGACTTAAATGACTCAACAACAGCCATTTTTCTTAAATGAATGGCTTTTGTGAAGGGGGAGAGAAAACAGCTAGGGAGATAATAAAGATGACCCGTTGGCCAGGAAGAAAGGGACTTCTACAGCAGAGAACATAGGATCATGGAATCTAGAACTAGAAAGAAACTAATTGATTCATCTTATCAGCTCCTGATTTTATAAATGAGGAAATACAATTCATTCAACAAACCTTTATTAAGCTCTTACTATATGCCAGGTACTGTGGAAGTCTCTTTACAAGGACAAAAATAAAAGTTTCTCCTTCAGTAGTTTATATTCCCTTAGAAGAATACAGAATGTTCATAGGTAAGTAAATATATGATAATTTCAGGATGGACAAAGCAGACAACTTGTGTGAAGGAGAATAATAGAAACTAATAGTGGAAAGTTATGTGGGAGTTGGATTTCAGAGAGTTGTGTCAGGCTAAAAAGTTCATGACTTATCATAGAGGCAATATGGAGACAATAAAGATTTTTGAGCAAGAGAGTGATATGGCCAGATCTGTGACTAGTGAACAATAATGTGGCAGCTGTGTGGAAGAAGGATTTGAGAGAGGAAAACCTGGAATCCGACATGGAGACCAATTAGAATGCTATGGCAATAGCCAGGCAAAAGGTGATGGGGGCCTAAACTAAGATGGTGGCTATGTGAATAAAGAGAAGGGGACTGATGCAAGAGATATTGAGGAGACATATCCATCTATTTAAAAGCTGAGGTGGGGAGAAGGAAAGTCAAGATTGACTCTTGGTTGCTAGTTTAATTGGCTGGAAAAATAGTAGCACCCACAGCAGAAATAAGGAAGCTTGGAGAAGGGAGAGGCTTAGGGAGCAAGGTAATTAGTTCTACTTTAAATATGTTGGCAGTGCAGGGTGGGGTTCAGAAGAGAGATTAGGGCTGGATATCAGATTTTCTTTAAGATCCCCAAGAGACAGAGGTGTCCCCATCCTTGGTGAATGGGAGATAGATAACATATCAGTAAAGAAGACTGAGCATATTCAATAGGGTAGGGTATTGGGTAGTGTCTAATGTTGCAGAAAGATGAGAAGAAAAACGATTAAGAAAAAAATCATTAAGTTTAGAGCTCGAGATTGTTGATAACCCAAGAAAGAACAGTTTCTGACATGCGATGGAAACCAAATTGCAAGAAGTTGAGAAGTGAATGGAAAGTAAAGAAATTGAAGCAAGGATCATAGATGACTTTTTCAGAATTTTGCTGTGAAATTTGCTGTGAAGATGAGATACTAAGGATGAGAGTAAATGATCAAAAGGGCAAACTCTCCAAAAAGATGGGAGAAAATGGGATCAGGAGCATAAGAGGAGAGGCTGACCTGGCAAGAAGGACCACCATCTTTAGAGATGAGAGCAGAAGAGGGGAGAACAGGAAATGAGATGATTTGAGGTGAAGAATTAGAAAGAAAAAGTTTTTCACAATAGATGGACTCAATTTTCTCAGTAAGGTAGAAGGCCAAGTCTTTTGCAAGAGAGAGGGAAAGGAGTAGTATAGGAGCATGGGGAGAAAAGAGAAGGCTTGGAATAATCACCATAAAGTATGTAAAGGGGATCAATTAGGGAAAAAAGAATTGCTATGCAGCAGCAAGATAAGTGCTTTTAAGATTAAATAATTTCTCTAGCAATATTTAATGGCTAGGAGAAGGAGTGGAAAATGTTGATGGTAGGGGTAATCCAGGGCTAAGTTTGGCAAGGCAGAAGCAGCAAGAGAACAAAACCATTAGGTATTCAAGGGTAGAGGATAGTGTACTATTGAACTGGCCAACCATAAGGTCAAGACTGTGGAGTGAGGAAATGGAAGCTCAAGGAATTTAAATAACTTGACCAAGTTACATGTCGTAAGTTACAGAAACAGGATTGAAACCTAGGTTATCTGGCTCTAAATCTACAGCTGTTGCAGTCCCTGCCCTACTGTAATATAAGATCTAGAAGTAGCCAATAGTCCACAAAAAGCCACAAAACTAAGAATGTCATTTCTTAGGCATCATGTAAATGGTAGGAATTATTCTATATTTAACTTCATTAAGGCCACTACTTTAAAGACATCATCTTTAAGACTTAAGAAATACTATAGCCATATGCCTTATCCCTTAATTCCTAAGAGTTTCTTGCCGCAGGATGTCCCTGTGTCAGCAACGTATTTCAGTTAAAGGAGTAAAATCGGCTCACGGAGATGGCTTTTCAATTAAACAAATGCATGATTGGGTTCTCTGCATTTACCAAATTTACGGCACCAAAATTGTCCAATATTCTTTCATTTCATTAACCTGGCCACAGAGTAAAACACCAAGCACCATGATATCTATTTCCTGTTGTTGTTGTTGTTTGTTGTTGTTGTTGTTGTCTGGGGTGGAGGAGATGCTCACAGATGGTGTCTAATGTGTTTTCCATATTCTTCTATTTTTCCCCCAATTTTAATGTTGACAGTGTTATTGCTCCACATTTATATACATACGCTTACACATGGCAAAGTGAGCTCCTCAAGGACAAGAAACATTCAGCTTCTGTCTTTGTATGCCCAGTGCCAAACGCAGTGCTTGGCACATGGAAGGGACTCAATAAATACTTGTGGATTGACTGAAACGATAAGGGGAAAAACACGAAGGCAATCAGTAATTTCTGCCAGGACCCAACCAGTCCTGGCCAATCCCAAGCAATTCAGGTCTGAGTAGAGTGGTCCTGCAGAAAACTATTTTCAAACATAATTCAATTGATGTCCAGAGAAGTGGGATTGCTATAGCAAATGGAGTTGAGAGAGATATAACACTAGAACAAAGGTCCTGGTTGGCAGAAAGACTAACTTCCAGGAATGAAGTCTAGGCGATACTACGTTTAAAATTTCCTGAAGACAATGCAGCTATCTCTCCTCCTCCTCTTTAATTCTGTGACTAATTAATGTACAGCCCAGATGAACTATCTGTCCAGGACAATATGTGTATGCAGGTATGTACTGATGAAGGAGCTCATTGTAATAATTTTATCTATCATTCAACATTACAAGGAAAAGCCAACTTTATCAAGGATGACCTTGATATGTGTGTAGATTCTCTCCTAAAAATGTTTATATAGATGGGAAAGAAGGTATTTAGGTCAATAATTGTGGATTTGGGGATGGAGAGGGTATTAATTAGTCATGAAATTGTTTTCGATGGCTTTAATATCTTCCCTTCTTTCAAGTGCCTTGTGAATTAATTCCTCAACTTCTTCACAATTATATCACCTCCAGCATAGGCCTCCTCTTTTAATTATTAATTAATTGTATTAATACTGCTATTTTCCCCATCTTTGTTCTCTTTTGCATCACTCAGAATTCCTGTATAAGGTCTTTCCCAGGTCTCGGTTTTTCTGAGGCAACACCCATTCAATGACTAAGTCATGATGATACTGGAGGAAAGAGTGAGACTGAGGACTTTGCACAGCTCCGCCTCACTCAAATCCAATTCATGGGCGACAATTCATGAGCCATCACCCTCATGATGTCATTGGTCTTCTTTGAGAACAAAGGACAAACAACAGCAACAATGACTCCCCTCTACACGTTTGGGGCTACAATATGAGTTTGCATATAGTAGCTCTACTATCTTTGAGAGCGAAAAAAGATTTTT